GGAGACTGGGCCAGCCTAAAGCATCTGTCTCTATGCTCTTGTCTTTGGAAGAGGGAAGAAGTCATGTTGGAGCTGCTAGTGTAAAGTTTGTACTTGGATGGGGAGAATCTGCATTTTCTATGCTGCTGAAAATCGTCCTGGAAAGAAAAAAAACACCACAAAAAAACCAGCAGAGAAGTGAAATCAAAACTTCAGAGTCCCAGGAAATGAGGAGTTGCTGTCGCTCAAACGTTATTAAAACCACCCATCTTAATCCCCTGAATTCTAGTTATCGCTCAGCATTTCACTTGCAGCTAAGGCGAGATCAGAGATATGACACTCGTATATTACTTCCCACCAGGCATTATGTGTAAGTAAAAGCACTAACTTCCCTTTGCTCTTCTGAGTGGACTGCAGTCAGTGGGAGTTTTGCTTTAAGCCCAGCTTGCCTGCGAAAGGGCATCTTTCACTGAAGAACTTTTCCTTTCTTGTATTTTTCTTTTAAATACAGTGGAAACTTCCCATTTTGAGGTAGACAACACTACACAAAGAACCTAAAGAAACAGTTACCACTGAGAAACTGAAAATGTTACCTATTATTTGATTAATATTTCCTACTGCTGCCATCAAATTGGGCTGTCAGGGATCCAGGGATTTTTAAGAGACATGTCAAGACCCTGAAATGCTTTTCATTCTCTTAAACGGACAGATAAAAAAGGGCTTCTGTCCAGGTACTTCGTTCTTTACGGGACTGGTTGTGTCACATTCATGCTAGAGGGAAAAGAGGGAACAAAAGCTACTTTTTCTAATTACTTCTATCTAAAACCTCTACCTAAATGGTCAGGGGATACGAGGGATGTACTCGAACACTTCTTGTGAGGAATGCCAACCAGCAGGCTGGTGCTGGTGGGGATATTTGAAATGGGAGCCTGCCACCGGCAAAGCACAGGAAAGGAGTCTGGTGCGTTAGAGGCAAAGCTGCTGGCTTCCCTCCCAGCCGCAAGCGAAAGGCAGGGTGACCTCCACCCGTGTCTGTGGCTTCCAGTGTCTGTCCAGGACAGGTAACCGCAGGGAGGTCGGGTACTCCTACAAACAGATGCAGAGGCTCTGGAAAGACACTGCTGTCACCTGCTGTGCCATTTTGCTTTTAAATACACGAACCCAGGCCCTGAGTAATGCTACGGCCTAAAGCTCATGTTTTCCCAGTGGATTTACTTGCTAGGGTTTAGAAAAAGACGAATTGCTCTGCAGGTGTTAACCTCATTTTGTGGTGGTGATCCCGCACGCTGTACTAACCACCCAGAAGTATTTCACGAGGCACGGTGAAGACCACAGCACCTACCCGGCCCAGGAGAGCACAGCAAATTGTTTCTTACCTGCTGCTTGTGGTTGACAGTGTCACCTGGCATCGACAGCACTGACCTCCACCACTCGAGTTTGCCTGTAGTGTAGAGCACATGACAGAGAAGGTAAGGAAGGAGATCTGCATTAGGGATCCTACACCCCATGGCCTCACCCCCAAATAAAATTAAGTGTTAACTTGCTGGTCTGTTGATTATTTTAAAGTCCAAAGCTATTCAGCATTTCCCCAGATTAATTTTTCAGAATTACAGGTCCATGGAAAAGCTTTTCACTCCTCCTTAGAAGGCAGTTCATTTAAAAGTGCTCAAGCTGTGTGTGCAATGTCCCACTTTCAAACCAACTCTCTGTAAGATTGCTTCTATTCTGAAAAGTGATTGAAAAAGTAGTGCCTTTTTGCTCAAGTGACCACTTTGCCATGATTTCTTGAGATGAGAGAGTTATCAAAGTACTTGAGGCTCCTCTGACTACCATATTTAAAGACTGTGGCATGAGCAAAGAAAAACAAAGCTGATGATAGCTACTCAACGCTGCAGATTATTAACACTTGTCTAGACGACTCAACTGCATCTGAAAAAGTGAAAACACGATGGAGTTAAAAGAACATTTTGCAGGGGCTTGTGCTGTGAAAGGTTCTCAGTGGTCTGATCTGTGATTCAGATTATGAGTATGCACCTTTTACAGTTGACCATTTGTAAAGAAGGGAGTACTTGCAGAGTGTGAAGAACAGAGCAAATGTAAAGAATGTAAAGAATGGAGTATTTGCAGAGAATGGAGTACTTGGGGTACTTGCACACTTCATGGTAACTGCTAAACAGAAACTGATATAAAATTTAATTGTAATTGACGTAAGGTTAATTGCAGCCTGGAGTAGAAGGCAATGACTGTCAGACTACACAGAGTTCGAGGACTGCCTCAGAGCTTGCCACTCTGAGGACTGCCAACCGTTAGTACTGTAATTATGTTATTTTTATAATTCAGGCACGTAACAAAGGGTGATTACAATGTAAAGGAATAAATGTTCTGCCAGTAACATGAACACTGCCTGAATAAATTATTGGTGACATGAAGCTGTACACTTAAGAAAATAAACATACACAAGCCATACATCTTAGCATTGATCTGGATGACAGGAACGCTAACATACAGTCGGTTAGGTCACTTCATCTGAAGCACAGGAGAAGTTTGATTTCGCTGCAGTGCTTTAACATCCCTAGGAAGCACATACAAGGCACCTGGAACCCACTGCTTTAAACCTCCCAAGGAGTAAGCACTGAAGTATCTTCACAGAAGCTTTGTCCCACCACAGGCTCACACGGAAGCTAGGCACCTATGATAGCTCTCCTCTCTTGCTAAAACACATGTGTAAGGAACAGCAGCAGATGCAGAGAAGTTTTCTTAACTGTGAACTGCAACTGCTAGCAAGCCTTGGGTCTTCCATCCAAATCCCTAGGTTTCAAGAATGAGGCCAAGTTCAGCATGTGTTACAACAGTTCACATGCAGTTACTATTAGATGTGTGAAATACCAAAACGAGGCCCCTGGCCTACACAACTTGCAGGATGAACAAGCAAAAAGAACAAAAGAATCACTTAGATGTGTGTTGTGGTTTAACCTCAGTCGGCAACCGAGTACCACACAGCCGCTTGCTCACTCCTCCCGCACCCC